TTAGGCTAATAAAATGAATACATTTATTTCTAGTTTTTTTTTAAAGCTGTCTACACATCTTTGCTGTAGGGGCCAACAACATTGTGCCTTTTAATAAGCAGAAGACTCACTATACTACCTGAACTAGCTTAAATGCATAGCAGACTGTGCCTCGAATGGCCACCTTACATTCTCATTAGATAACATTACTTAAAAGAATGATTGAAAATCTTATTTAATTATTTGTTTCATTTTGTGTTCTGTTGAAAACATTCAAATGTATTTAAAATTACAAGCTTTTTCTAATTCACTAATTACTATCATTTTAGGCCTATACTTCTTTTACCCACATTGGTGTTTTGATAATACACAATGTTCCTCACATCACAGGGAAATAGTCTGAGCAGATTGTTGTGAAAGTAGAACATAGAAGGACAATGAAAGCTTCTCACTCAGACATACATAAGAATCCTTTACTGGTGCTTCCATTGCATCTGACTGGAAGAATTGGTTCTGATTCATACCCTGGCAGTGAAACTTTTGAGTCATGAAAGGCTACTCAAGTGATTTGAAGCAGTCCAGAGTGCACTCTTGATGATAGCCAGTGGAGAAAAGCCATGGATGATTAGAGGCTGAGAGGCTTGTGTGAGCACTGGTGATAGCAACCCTGGGCGTGATAAAAACATAGTCCGTCTAAATCAGTGTTCTGTAGAAACCCCAACTTCACTGCCTGCTCTGCTGCTGCGGCTTAATACAATCACATAAGATGCAACATGTTCCCCTATGATGTTTTGAGCCTGAACATTTGTCTTAAGTTGGTATCCTGTTTTTTTATTAGTTTATCAGTTTAAATATTTGTAAAAGTATGCTGTAATTTGTGCACAAAATAAGTTTGAACAAAGTCCACCAAAGAGTGGCAGATAGTTTTAAGTGATTTCAATCTAATGGATGATCTCATAGAAATTATTTTGTACTTGGAAAGGAACAAATTGATGAATGAAGAAAAATGTTTTGGTACATTCCACTAAACATTGCAATCTAATGTAATCTGCACATTGGATTTATTAGATAGTATTATTATTCACAGTACTGCTTTAGAATGCACATTTTGAATGCAACCTCTCAGAAAGAGGAGTGTCTGTCCAACCAGGATGGAAGGCTGTTGAGCTCAATAAATGCCTTCTTAGTTAATTATTTGTCCAATTATTATTATCTGAATAATCTTATTCAGATAATATATACTTTCATTGAATTTATAATAAAACGTAACCAGAGATTTAAGATTGCAAGTAAATTTAAGTCAATAATTCAATGTAACAGTTAAAAAAGTAAATGAAAAAAGTCATAATTAACTCTAGTGATAGCCTGTTGACATGTTTTGCGGCTTAGAAAATGTATCAGGCATTTATAGAAGGTAGGAGAAAGGATTGTAGAGTACACTGATCCATGGCTGTAGAATGAGGCACAGCTCTCAGGTTAGTTCTAGTCCATTTCTGATTACTCCCCACAGGAGCTGAGTTTGTAGACTGAAAAAGTCCATGGAGAAGGTTTTCCCGACTGATTGGCAGGGAAAAATCACCACTGTAGTGGAAACCTGACTGTCTCTAGCTGAGAGGGCTCGTTCAATAGGAATATACACAGCCTAAGTAAGAACCAGTAAGGTTCTCTTTTTGGTTATATCTGCCAGTTCTGGTGCTAAAAAGCTTGATCGGAAACATGGTTTTGTCTCCTCATTTCCTTTCCCCTTAAAGATTAAAACAGATAATATAACTCAGTTAACTCAGTTCTTGGCCATAACATTTTCTTAGATCTCCAAGTTTTAAAACTCTTCACTTTGTGTCATTTAAATATATGATTTCTTTTCTGTGTGTAATTTAATTAACATTTGCTGCATCACTTCTGTTCATTTGGTCAGCTGAAAACAGATATTAGGTTGATTAATTATAAATCTAATTTGTGTTTCAACTGGAAAGCAATTGTTGATTCTTCTTATAGTCTTATGATCAACTGTAAACATAACAGGGATATATTATAGTCAAAGTCTCCATCATCCCTAATTAAAACATTATCAGTGTCACAGATCATTTTGAAACATTAAGATAATACCTCAAATCCCTTACTTTTTTTTGTAATTCTAAAGATTAAGAAAGCTTTTTTAGCGGGAACATTATTAAGAAAGCCTCATTGCTACCTACCCTCCTTTAGAATTTCATTGTCATGCTGTAGGACAATGAAGAGCTCTCTGTCAGGAGAAAGAAATTAGTCATGAGAGAAAAATGGATTAGACTTCAGAAAAAATTCAATAACAATTTAGTGGAGACCAGGGTTGTGTGTTTTCACCAAGGTGGTTAGATATTGAGCAAATGTCAAACATATAAGTATAAATCACCTTAAAAGCTTAAGAAAGTTAGAGCTAATGTGAATTAACCAACTAATTGGTGATTATTATCAGCAAACACAACAAGGTGTATAAATAGTGTCTTTATCCTTTTCAAATGTCTGTTTGTATTCTTTTTCTGGGTGGCTGGACATCCTGATTGCATTTTCTTTGTGTGTGGGCTTAATATTTCTTCAAAGCAACATATCCTAAAAGATTAATAGTGAGAAGATTTTAGGCCAGAGCTAAATGAAAGCTCCTGCTTTCTTTTGTAGGACACACCAATATAAAATGGCCCTTAATGTTCCTCAGGGCACAGCACTGTGTGCTTGGTAGGGATGACTATTTTTAGTACATTGTTATAAATGTCTCAGAAGATCCCCCTGTGCTGCAATAAAACTTTCCCTCAATTTAAAAAGGAAAAACTACCAAATTACTGATCCACATGGGAACGTTTTGTGTTTCTGATTGTGTGCTGAAACTTTTCTCATGTTTTGATTTTTGCTCTCTTTCAGTGCATGAGGAACCCAGCTCTCCTGCAGAGGACAGGTTTAGTCATTAGAGTGCTTTGCCACATTCAGAAAAATGTCTGGCTCCTACGATGAATCTGCAGGTGCTGACGACACCATGGATAGCTTCTGGGAGGTAAAACATGAAATTCTTATTATTTGTACATATGCATGCAAGACCAAAATAGCCATTTAACATAAAATAACTTAGATTTTAGGTTTTTATGTAAATTCAATTTGAAGGACACTCTTGTGTTCAAGCTTTAACTTTTCTTCTGCATCTTGAGAGGTTCATTTCTTGTGGGCTTTTAAAAAACTCCCTACTTTCATCAATTTTGTGAAATGCACTAGTCACCCCTGGGGCTAAATGTGATCACTTTTTACAGTAATTCTGATTTTAGCTCCATCAGACACCAGGATCGCCTTCTTGAAACCACAGCCTCTCTAATAGTGTATTTGCAAACTTTTATCTGTGATTTTTTTTTTTGCTGCTTTTGGAGCAATGGCCTCTTCCTTGCTGAGCGGCTTTTCGGCTCATATAGATGTAGTATTAATTTCACTGGGAAAAATTACACTCTTCATGGTCCGTTACTTTTCCATTGGGGTAGAATGGCACAGTATGCACCAAAACAACTTTAGACCGCAGTTAAGTATTCATGATTCTCTCACAATGTCCTTTTTTTCTTTCATATTCAAGACTATATAAGTGTAATCTGTGAAAAATGTAAAAGTCACGCAATTCCTTTCTTCTGTGTGTATTTTACTCACAGTGTAAGGGTGTAAGCTGGTTTGTTTATACTTATATATATTTTTTTTCTGGGGGGTAACAACAAATCATTAGGATGTGGAGTGACTAGTTTATTAAATGTTGTTCTATAGTTGGGTTATAAGTAGACAGCTAATGATGTCATGTGTGAAGATGTGTGTGTGTGTTTGTGGCACATTAAACCCACCAAATTAGTTATAATGAATTCTCTCAGAACAGAGACTTCTTTGTGTCATGGCTCTCTTTGCTGCAGAGGCTCAGACAAAGAGACTCAGTTGTCAGCTGCTCTGGAGCAGCCCTTCACCACATGCACCTGCATATAGCATCTTTGCTCTAGCAACACATAAGGATACCACAAGACATATAAATGTTACTGAAATAATTTTTCCTCTCCCACTGCTGTCACTGAATCTCTTTTGTTAAAACCCAACAATGCTGAGAAATTCATAAAACTGGACCACCTTCATGTTGTTGGTGGTGTGACTTGGGGATCTGTCACACAGGACAAGTCATACAGTACAGGCTGTTTCATAGTCTGCCTGTAGCTTTCATCTCAATCAGTTAACGCACAGGCATGCCAGCGTCCAGACCAATCACAGGACAGCGTTGCAGCCTGCGAACATTTCAGACCTTAGCTATACCATCTACAGCCTATTTGCCACAGAGAGAGAATATCTGGGGTATTTTTGTCTCCTCCTCGTCGTCATCCATTCCTGAGAATCTATCTGGCTGTATCATACCACTCAAGAGGATTACAGCAGCCACACACACATACGCTTTCATGTACCCATGCAAGCACAAGCCCTTGACATTGCATAACTCCACATGCACAGGCACGAGTAAATCCCCTCCCTCCATTACCCTGCCTTCATCATGCACCATGAGCTCACACCTCCTGCAGGCACCATGAAGGCGGAGTCATCCAGCAAGCTCCTACTTCTTAAGGCAGTTTCACTTAAGGTGGTAGGATCTAAAATAAATACAACCATTGTTTATACATTACAACCACAATTTGCAATTAAATACTTCATTTGGATTCTTTTTAAATTCAGTTGAAGAATGAAACAATTTTGCAGGCTAAAATAACAGTTCACAACTTTCAAGAGTTAAGATGTGAATATGATACAAAATGCTGCAAATTATAATATAAAAAAATGACATTTTTTTTCCAGGTTGAATAAAAAACCAAAAAAAAATATTAGTTTGTCCTTTTTGTGGCTTTCCTACTAAATCTTTTAATCTCAGTTGTGTCATCCTTTTGGTGGCTTTTGCGAAAGGGGAGGGTTATGTTATGTGATGTTTGCAAAAAGATAAACTACCCTTATTCTTATAAAACCTGATGGTTTTACTGATTCCTAGAGAGCCTTTGGTAAAAAAAAAAAAAAAAAAAAAAATCACATTTGAGAACATAATTTTAGTCTGTTTTAATTGTAATTTGTGCAGAATAGAAAAGCTTTGAATTAGGGCTAACTGTTCAGGGATTTTTTTAGACAAAGGGGGTTTGCTGTTGTACCTTAGTAACTACACCGTCTTGCAATGGCATTTATATACCCCTTATACATTTCCTTATTTTCTCACACTACTGTCTAAAAAAAATTATTTTTAATTTTTTGTTTTTGTTAATTTATTTTACATGGAAAGGATAAATGGTGTTCAGTGTTGTTTCAGACATGAAAATAATTTCTGAATTACTTGAATTTTCTCTGTGCCTTGAGATGACATTTGTTGTGAACTGGCATTACACTGTGTAAACTGAATTGAAATAAACTTTGGATTTGGTTTCATATCACCACTATGCACCATAAAAATAGTGATCCATGGTGATTATACCTTTTGGTTTCTTTCTTTGCTGAAATTTGATTGTGTAGCTTTAAAGCTTCAGGTTTTAATTTTACTTAAAAACAAAGTTTTTCTACAATCTTATGAGCTGTTTATTCGGTGATGATCTGTGACAAACTTGGAAGGGCTTCATTGATTTCTTTATATTGAGATAGAACAAATAGGAACATAAGTGACGATAAGGTGACTTTTACTATCAGTTGATTTAAGCAGATTTTATTTTGGGGTGTCAGAAAAGGTGAGATTGAATACCATTGAATGCCATGTATTTTAGATTTAATTTTTTTTTCGTATGTAAAAAAACCTAATAATCGTGCAGCTCTATCCTATGAAATACAAATAAAATACAAGTTTTTGGTTATAACAAAATGTATAAATACTATATATGAATATAGAGTTTAAATATTATTTAATTATAAAAGGCATTAGCTTTTTATACTTGTGCTGTATTCCTTATGTTTTGTATAGTTACAGAATATTGACTCTGTTGATATTCAGCAGTGTTGGTTAGATTTTAAATAATTTTCTTCAATGCTTTTCGCACTGTCTAAAATAGGGAATTTAGTTTCAAGTGTTTTTATGTCTCTTTTTGTGCTCAGGTGGGGAACTACAAACGTGCTGTCAAGAGAGTTGATGACGGTCATCGGCTTTGCAATGATCTGATGGGCTGCTTGCAAGAACGTGCCAAGATAGAAAAAGCTTACGGTGATCAACTAACTGCCTGGTCTAAGAGATGGAGACAACTTATTGAAAAAGGTTAAGCTTTTTTTTTTATTAAAATAAAATGACTATAAAGATAGAATCAGAGAAGGTTTACATAAATGGTTATTTGAAGTTAATATTTTAGCAACAGCAAATAACAATTGGCATCTTATAGTAGTATAAAGTCACATCAGTTACATACTGTGTCTGAGAAAGGCAGATACCAAAGCAGACCTCTGATTATTGGAAACAATTCCAGTATATATAATGTAGTATTGTATGAAGGTTTAATGTATAACTTTTAAACTATCAGCCTGTTTGCATTGGATGGCAGTTTATAAGGAAACCAATAATTATTCATGTTTAATATGAGAGCACTGGCCTAATGTTGACTTTCCTTTGTAAAATGCATACTTAGGATTTAGGGTTTTTTGTTTTGTTGCTGCTCAGTGGAGCAGTGGTGCCTTGCAGCAAAGGTTCTTGGTTCAATTCCCAGCCCAGGGTCTTTCTGCATGGAATTTGCATGTTCTCCCTGAGCATGCGTGGGTTCTCTCCGGGTACTCCGGCCTCCTCCCACAGTCCAAAAACATCACTGTTAGGTTAATTGGCTTCTCTAAATTGTCCTTAGGTGTGAGTGTGTGCATGAATGATTGTCTGTCCTGTTTGTCTCTGTGTTTTCCTGCAATGGACTGGCAACCTGTCCAGGGTGTACCTCGCCTCTCGCCCATTGACAGCTCGAGATAGGCACCAGCACCCCTCGCGACCCCACTTGGGATTAAGCGTATTAGAAGATGGATGAATGGATGGATGTTTTGGCTTTTTTTTTATTATTATTATTTTAAAATTAAGTAATTACAACCGACATGACTGATGTTACATCGTCCCATACAGTAGGTGGCGGTATGGCCATAAAATTCACTGTTGCAATCTGCAACTGAATAAAAAGAAGAAAAGAAAGTAGCAGGTTAATGCAATCAGATGAGAAATGGACAACAGCTGAGGGGGATTAACGTAGAGACAGAAGGAGGAAGGTACTATGAGAGAAACACAGGAAAATGGACATAACAACATAGAGCATGGTCCCAACCAAACCAGGGTAAACATCCCAAATAAACCTGACAAAAACAAGCATTAGGAAATGGAAGGCAAGGAAGGTTTATTTATATGGCAGAGTTCATTAGCAGGACAATTAAAAGGGCTGATATGGCAGATCCTCAATGACAAGAATAACAAGAGAAACATAGAACATACTAAATGGTAGGACAATTTCAGTCGGAGAACCTACTGAATAAAATGGGTTGAGAAGAATAGAGTTTGTTTTTTAATCGTTATAACAGCTATGCTTGTTGCGCTGCTTTTTCTTTTATATCACTCACATAAACGAGAAAATCTTTATATGTCACATCCTGTTTTAGGACCCAAAGGGAAACAGGAGCAGGTAAACACAGTGAGCCAGGATTTTAATGTGAACTGAGCAGTGAACATAACAAAAACACGATAGGAGCGCAACACAGTCAATCAGCCCGGGTAACCAGGAGAGCTCAGTAGAATCAGATGACAAGTAAAAGAATGGATAAATGCTGATAGGTGTGATTAGAGAAAAGAAAGTTGGTTAAGGTCGGCCTTGGTTTTCTGTATTATTCCGCGTTTGTTGGATAGTGTAGATATGATGCATGTAATTTTTGTATATAAAAACATTTATTATATTTTTAAATTCCTTATGCTCCAACATTAAACTGTATCACACCTTGAAAGCAATATATTCTGCCACATTTATAATAACAAACTGGAGCTAGCTCCCAGCATGTAATGACGCTTTGATGTCACTCGACCTTGGATAAAACCGGATTCCGGAACTACATTCTTGTCTTATTCCAAGTTATTATGCACGGCTGATAGCCAATAATCATTGGCTATCAGCCTTTACTGGGCTATCACCCAATCATTTGAAATTAATGTTTTTCTGAATAAGTTTGATTAGAATAATCAATTATATTTCTATCAGTTATATTAAAATTTTTAAGTTGGATCAAAAATTTGGTATGTAAAAATTTAACAATCAGTCAGGGTCTTGGTTCTGTTATGTTTTCGTTTGAGTATTCAGTTATACTTTGCTCCATGTTTTCTAGTTTTAATGTTTAATTCCTATTTTGTTGTGTTTTCTGATCATATTTTATTTCTTAGGTTTTTATTTGCTGCCATTGTTTTGGTCTCCTTTTCCTTAGCTCCTTTCTAGGCTCCTCTCTTCACACCTGCTCCCAATCAGCTCGTTAGTCCTCTCTTTGTTCAGTCTCCCATAGATACTCTCCTTGTGCAGTTCATCAGTGCTTGTTCCTCATCTTACCTCATCTGTCCTTGCCTTTCCCTGACTCCACATGCTCTTTTCTCCTGATGTCTCCATGTTTCTGCTTTGTGTTACATTTTAAGTTGGATTTTTGCATTTTTGGATTCTGCCTCAGTTGTCTGTGATCATTCAATCAAATCTTCAAGAAACTCACCTCTGCCTCCCTGCCTCTGCATTTGGGTCCTCAAAAACATCAACCAAATCCTGACAAACAACACATCATCTCTGGCTGTCTAAAAAAAAAAAATCTCTTTTAGAGCATTACAGAATCATCAGCATAAAGTGTTACAGTGGAATATTTATAGGATTCAGTACATTTGACACATAAATACAAGTACTTTAGAAGCACTATACAGTACAAAGCTATCCATGAATACTTACGTTTTAAATGTTACTGTTCTTGAAAACATATATAAAAAAAAAACATTTCACAAACGGCTCATTACATCATCTGAATAACTGATACTTAATGATGCGTTCAGAAAACTTGAAGAACATTGTTATTTGCATTTTAATCATAACCTTGATATTCTATTAGGCATCAAAGGTTTAATGTGTATACTGTATTCAAAGATAATTTTTTGTGCATTAAATTAAATAAAAATATGTTGTCTTTTTTGTTATTTGGGGCGCCAAAACCAACATTCATGAGAAATTTTACGTCACAGAATGTGAAACAAAGCTGATCTAATTAACTATGTTGCAGCCGTGGTGAGACTAGTGCTCGATCTGAATACTTCAAATCTGTAAGGACAGTTAAGTGCATCAGTGATAGTTGCAATAAGTGACGTCTAAATAATGCTTTGATCGGGGTGAATCATGTGTGTATCCACTGTGCAATAATGTCAGTAAAACTGAAGGCTGTCCGGATTCATTACAGCAGTCCAGAGCTCCTTTCCTACCCTGGATTATGCTCTTACTGTTGAAGGAACAGTACACAGGGAAACAGGTCAAGAAATTAAAGCACCTAATAAATAACAGAGAAAACTTTGCCATGTATGCTGGTATATCAGAAAATATTTTTCAGGCATGCCTAATATCGAAGATATGAATGAGATTTTGTGGATCAGACCTTTGTTCTTTGTCTAGTTAAATACCTAAAGCAAACGTTTCGGACTCTGGCGTCCAAGAAACTAGTTTAACTAACAGAAGATACCAGGAAAGTTATATACGATAACGTACATATCATATACATTTACTTATTAAATCCACATTTATACTTTATGATGTTTGATTTGTCATGTATTAGAACTAAAATGCTCAGTTCTAAACTTTCAAATTGCCTCTCTTAGGTCCACAGTATGGTTCTGTGGAGAGAGCCTGGCTTGCAGTCATGACAGAGGCGGAGAAAGTGAGTGAGCTGCACCAAGAGGTGAAAAACAACCTGCTAAATGAAGATGTTGAAAAAGTCAAGAACTGGCAGAAGGAGGCATATCATAAGCAAATGATTGGAGGCTTCAAGGAAGCCAAGGAAGCAGATGAAGGTTTCAAAAAGGCTCAGAAACCATGGGCCAAGAAGCTCAAAGAGGTGAGAAAGTATATAGAGGTCTTCAGTAGTCTGCTGTATTAGTTTAGAGAGTTTAGAGCTATGTATAAAAACATTTTTTTCTTTGAGTTACCTTAAAGGATCTGAGATAACATTTGAGATTCATATGGTAAAAGGTGATCATTGCTATTTTGGGGTAAAAGGTTTTATGTCACTGACTATGTTTTGTTCCTGTACGATTTTGGAAATGTAGATGGAGGCAGCTAAGAAAACGTACCATATGGCCTGCAAGGAGGAGAAGCTGGCTGCAGCCCGAGAGGCCAATGGCAAGACTGAGGCTTCTGTCACACCAGACCAGCAGAAGAAACTTCATGAGAAAGTGGACAAATGCAAACAGGACACGCAAAAGGTAAAATAAAAAACAGTCTTATATTTAATTAGATAAGACTAATAAGACAATTTACTGATCTCTAGTTAAGAACATCAAAGGGGAAAAAAAAAAAAACAACTAAGCTTACGGCTAAAAGCATTTAATGAAGGAAACAGCTATGTTACAGAAAATTCTTTGATTTAAAAAAAAACTAGTATTGATTTAAAGGAACCAATAGTTTTTGCACTTCTTTCGCACTCATGCATTTTACTCCAGAACTGAGAGTCAAATAAACTGAATGCTGCCTCTGGTTCTGAGTAAACTGAGGAAGCAGGTCCCTGAAGACTTGAGGGAACTTCAAGGTTCATACTTGGCAAGTAGCTCAGAAATACATTTTAGCCTAAGGCCATTCGCTTCTTTCGACCCAATAGAAGAATTTTGAAATCCATTCATTGAAAAACATGGAGCCAGTAACTGGGGTGGTATATTCCATATTCTCTGTGTTTTTTAGGACTCCGGGAAAAGCATTCTCGGTTAGCTACAATTTCCTGATTCCATTTTCTTGACTGTTTAAGGACACATCCATGATAAACTAACCCAGTGTAAATTACAATATGTACCTTCGTCTAGTTTTGACAGGAATCCTTTTACTTTCACAAAAAATTTTAATATGATATTAAAGTGATTTTCCAAATGACTCTTTTTAGTTGCCAAAGTTTCTATCAAAAGTCCAAAACAGCACCAAGGTTTCATACCAGCTCTGAATCCTTCACTTCCATTAAGACTTGCTGAGATTTCAATTCTCGCTTCAGAATTGTTATCGAAGGAAAGAAGATTTAAACACCTCAAAAATATTTCTTCTACCATCATGGAGCGTCATTCTCTGTCAGATTATATATTTTAAAAATGTTACAATTAAAAGAATTACAGCTGAAATGTTCCAGAAATTGTTTATTTCAAACACCTTGCCTTCAGTCATGTTTTCTCTGTCTTCTTTTCCAGGCTAAAGAGAAGTATGAGAAGTCCTTGGATGAGTTAAACAAGTGCACTCCTCAGTACATGGAGAGCATGGAGCAGGTGTTTGACCAGTGCCAGCAGCATGAAGTCAAGAGGCTAACTTTCCTCAAGGAGGCCTTGTTGGACATAAAACGCCATCTAAACCTAACCGAGGGCCAAAGGTTAGTCAATACTAACAGACAAGTCACACTTCTGTATTTATACCTCATTAGGTTACTTTATTGTTTTGAATCAGCCTTCACACCAGTCCTAACACCATTAGTCCTCAAGGTGGTGCTAAATCTAAGCAAACTTCCTGATTCCTAAGCGATTCTGTAAATTCTAGACTAAGAAAGGTATTTTTAGTCTACTATCTTAGATAAACGGAGCCAGTGTAATGACTTGAGAACTGGGGGGGATGTGCTCCAGTTTCTAAGTTTTAGTGAGGACTCCTGCAGCAACATTTTGGATTAACTGCAGCAGACTAATCAACTTTTTAGGCAGATCTGTGTAGTAATCGGTTCTACTTAAGATGAACGCATGAATTACTTTTTCGAGATCCTGCTAACTTTAGTCCTTTAATCCTGGACATATTTTTAGATGTAGCAGAAAGGCCGACCCAGTTCTCCAGGCACTCTAAAAGAACTGAGTGATGAACACAGTTGAATGCTGCATTAAGGTCCCATGATACCAGCACTGTGGTTCTACCACAGCCTGCATTTACAGTATATGGATGCCATTAAACACCTTGACTAGTCAATCAGTGACACTTGTTAGTTTATTGCCATGAATGTATTTGCACTTGTTTTGAGTTGGTATGGAAAATACCTGCCAATAGAAGAAGATGTAGATTAAAGAAGAAAATATACATATTTTATTTAAGGGTTGAAAACATTCATACTGTACCATAGGCAGATAATTGCGTTTGCTCGCTCAGTTGAAGGACAAAATTTCTTATTTCAAAATTTCTTTTACTTTTATTTGGATAAATCTTTGCTGTGGTGTGTACATTCTGGCTGCTGGTTCTAAAACATATTTCCTTTCATCTTAGGGGGACATCTTAGTTCTTCTGTAGACCTTTTCAAACTATTGATACATCCAGATGTATCCAATTGTTATTATTTTTAATACGTTCAGTTTAGGAATCATCTTCTTAGATTTTAATTAAGTTTTATGGACTTTAATCACCTATAAATCAAATCGACTAACAGAAGACACTAGCCATTGAACTCAGTCATAATACCAAATAATATGTTAATATATAAGGACTTCCTGATACTTTAGTTTCTACATGTTAAGTTAACAAATGCATTTCAGCTTATATTTATAATTTTGACGCTTATATAGTAAAACAAAAGTCAAACTTGTGTTCTCAATGATGGAAATTATTTGTTATTTTCTTTTCATACTGGAAACAAAATCATTTAGATACGTCTTTAATGTGAAGGAACAAAAAAAAATGTTAGTTGATTGGTTTGATTGGCCCTGTGTCACATTCGTTAACATTCACTTCAGGCTGAATTATTTCAACACGAGTATCTACCAGACGTGTATTTGTCATCAACAATCTGCCTCACAACGCTAATTAATCAGAGATTCATTCAATGGCATTTCTGCCAAAATGAATTTGGTTCACAGTGAATGCTTGTCATATCCTGGGCCGTTTTTAAGCTGTGTCTAATACACAAAGCCAGAAGCCATAGCAAAAGGCTTTACAGGCTCTTAGCCTTTTAGAAGACTCTTTAATCCAGCAACATCTATTTGATTCAATACTTACTGCTACCTTTACTACTTATATATTGCACTACTTTTAACCAAATCTGCTACATTAGACTGCTTTGAAAAGTATATTTTCAAGTTCAACTTTTTCATATTTTATCATGTTACAGCCACAAACCGGAATATATTTTCCTCGGATTTTCAACAATGGACCAACAGTACTGTAAAGTGGAAGGGATATAACACATTGCACTTGACAATCTTAAAAATGTATATCTAAAAGGTTTGCTGTGTGTTCAGCCTTAATTACTTTGATACACCGCAATTAAATCAAGTGCAACGAATTGCCTTCAGAAGGCACCTCATGTGCAATCTAATTTCATTATAAATAGGGCTTTAAGTCCTTCACAGCTTGTTTTAGATAATGATAATGAACATAGTCCAGGGTGCACACCCTAAGTTTGCTGACCTTGACCATGAAGGGTAACGCATCTAACATGTAAGAAAGGTGCTCTGGTCAGATAAAACGACAAGTATCGGTTTGTTGTCTGTTGAAAAACGAAAATTTTAATTGTATAGCATGTTGTTTGAACTCATCATCACCACTTTGAAAGATATGAATATGGGTGGAGTTCAAGAAGATATGATAAATAAACTAATTAGAGGCTATACAAGGCTTCTCTGGGTTTAGAAACTAATTCTCACTCTTAAAACACAATCTGACATTTTTAAAGCAATTTTTCAAAGTATAGGCTAAGATTTCATTTTCTTTCTGTGTAAACCTAGTAGACAAATTTCAAAGGAGCATATTCTAGTGACAGGTGGTTCATTAAAATATTCACTTAGGGGTATAAAAATGTTCCACAATTTTTATTTTCCATTTAGCATATTCCTTCTTTGTACAATCCTGCAGTACTTTGTGTTTGTCCATCACAGAAAACATCAATGTTTTTGGCTTTAATGTGACAAAATTGAAAAATGTTCCTGTTTGACGAAAACATTTGTAAGCTATTATGTCACTTTTTTGACTTTTGACACATTTTTATAATAATAAATTATAATTAATAATAATAGATATTTAGATACATTCTAAATACTTCAGTAGTTCAGGGGTTCCAATTATGGCAGATAATTTAAAGAGACAAAATCCGTTTATGCCCTAACCTCGGATCTCTCTCAGTCTGGAATCTGAGCCACAGTGTGAGTCCTGGTGCCAGTTTGGCAGCGGTCTGAGCTCCCATCTGGTCCCTGCATTGTCACAATTTGTTCCACTCTTCCTCCTCAGCTATGTCACAATATACAGAGAACTAGAGCGCACGATTCAGGCCATAAGCACACAAGAGGACCTGAGGTGGTTCAGCAACAATCATGGCCCAGGGATGCCCATGAACTGGCCAGTATTTGAGGTACGATATCCACATTCAGGACAAAACTAGCTCACAAAACTGTTTCCTAAATGTATTCATTATGTTGTTACATTGATGTGCAGGAGTACAACCCAGACCAAGCAGCTGCTCCTCCAAAGAAGAAGAAACCAGACGGCGCCCCACCTACTCCAAGCACCGACCATGTGGCTCCCCCTGGTGATCGCAGCAGGTTGGTTGAAGGAGGCTGTTTACATGGTTTACATTTTCTTAAAGAATTCCTTCGAGTGTTTGCTTCTTAAATGACATAATCTCAATTATATATATTTGTTTTCCTCTGTGTATAGAAAAAACCCCAAACCCTTTACTCAATCATAGTGATTTTAAGGATAAAGCAACAATTTCACGGTTTTAACAGCAAACCTGTTAGGATGAAGCCATCATTGGTTAAACTTCTCATCAAATAACATTTTTTAAAAGTTGTAGCGATTGCTTTTTGCATAGGTTTACTTCAAACACCATTTATACCTTTTCTAGTGTCAGCAGCTATGACAAGAACCAAGCTTATTCGACCGAGTGGTCCGATGACGAGCAGCCCACTTCCTACTCTGGCAATGAGAATGGTGGGAACAGGAATTCATTTGAAGACGATTCCAGCACTGGGAAAGGAGTGCGTGTTCGTGCCCTCTATGACTATGATGGCCAAGAGCAGGATGAGCTCACCTTCAAAGCAGGTAATCATTGTAGCAATGAACATGAATGCAATGACAAGCCATGGTGAAGCACAAATCAACTTGTCCTCCAGCCTCCACTACAAAAATAACAGTAATTAGTCAATAATGGTTACGCTGGAAAATAAATTACAGGCGCTTGCCACCGATTAACTCAAGCTGCTTGAATGGTAGTCCAAAAAGAGCTTAAAAAGTCCATGCACGAGTAATAAAGTGAATATTACCTTTGATCTTTATGTCCACAACTAAAACCTGTTTTGAAGTTCATATTTCTTTTACCAATGATTGTGATTTTACCGACATGCATGACAGATGTTTGAAGCATTAAAACTAGAAAACATCCATGTTTCTCTAACTTAACAAAGAACTACAATAAACTGTTCATAGATATTCACCTCATTAGTATGAGCTGGGAGATAAAGCCCCTTGCCAAAGCATCCATGTACCTAGTGCAGTTTGCATCTTGTAAAGTGATACAGACACACAATCTTTATTGCATCTTACATGCGTATGTTGTGATAAACCAACATAAATAACTGTAAAGTGGATAGGAAATTAGATTTGGTTTCAAGTTTTATTCTTCAACAGATACATCTGAAAAGAATAGAATGTATTAAGCCTTCACTTCCATTCCAGCCAATTTAATTTGAACTCATTCACTAATTAGTAAATGTGCAATGTCCGCTTTTGTTTAATTTAATTTGGTGCAATTAGAATAGGTCTTTTAAGGCTTAACATGCTTGTTAAAGAACATCAGGGAACAAACAGCATCAACAATGTGAGGGATGAAGCTGTGGATAAAGGTTTGAACGTTTCATCTGAAAATTCTTCTAAAATTGGCAACAATACGCTACAGGACCTGCAGGTTTACAGAACTTAAGTCGATAGGAAAATGATTAGTTGTGCATTTTACAAACCTTTCCTTGGGAGAGTAGAAAAAAAGAATGCATTTTCTTCGGAAGAAAGCCATAAAAAGTCCCACTTACAATTCTCCATAAAAATGTAGTAAGACACCCAATATGTAGAGGAAGGCTCTCTGGTTGGATGAATTCAAAAATGTTTTTGTCTACATAAAAAATACTATGCGTGTTGGAAAAGTAACATCACCCTGAACCCCTGAACACGTCACCTCCACCATGGAATGTGATGCTTTTGTGCTGCAGAAATGTACTGCAGAAACAAGGAGGTTGGCTTGATATGGTGGAAATGCAGAGGTTAAATACAGCCCAGTACTTAAATAACGCACTAATAAAGTTTAAACTTCAGCCGAGGTTTACCTTCCTGGAAGGTAAATACTCTAAACATGCATCTTTAACCATTATAAAAGGTTTCAGATCAAGAGTTTCCAAAGTGGGGAGAATTTTAAGGTTCGACATTTAGATTTTTTTTTTTAGTTTGACCTGTTTAATTGTTTGCACTTTAACATCGCATATAACAAGAGCCACAAACATGCAATGACTTTTTAGTCAAAAACAGATTGGGGCACACCTATTTAATATACTGGGGTAGATAAAACCACACTGGACAAATTAAATACAGTAGAATATATTTGACCTAATAATAGAAAATTGAACACTTTTCTCTAATTAAGGCAAACAACTCAACCTCCAGAAATATGCTCCTTTTATGCTTACTTTCATTAATATGATGCAGGTTTATTTAATTACTGAGAAGATAAAAATAATTAAATCACGATAAAATTATCGTTGACCATTTGAACAACAGTTAAATATTTAATCTAAAATTATATCAAGGTTCTGAGATTCTAGAGCCTTAAAGCTGAATGAGACATTACTCAAAATAATTGCAGCAGTAATGGCAATAACAAATAATATCTAGAAATATTGACTAAGGCTGATTGCAAAGTCACAAAGGTAGCACATTTTGACTATTGGAAGATATTGGTTGAAATTTCATGAAACATAGGCAGAGTTTAAGGGGCCTGTATGGTTGTCTGAAGCACTGGAGTCTTTTTGTGATATATATTAACTGCTTTGCTTTCAGAGTTCTTTTAGAATTCAAAATAAATGTTATTAAGATATAAATATTTGTATTCATTAGTAGCATGGAAAGTGAAAAGTCTATTTGCGTTAGTACCTCAAATACTCCAGCAAAACTATTTCCAATTAAAATCTGTGTCATTTGTGTTGATTCAGTCCTCTCGTTTCCTAAACAGGTGACGAATTTACCAAGACGGAGGATGAAGATGAGCAAGGCTGGTGTAGAGGACGTTTGGACAGCGGCCAGGAGGGACTGTACCCGGCCAATTATGTGGAGGCAATCTAGTCACGTGACCTGACAGAGACATGCCGCTGGAGGCAGCTTGAACCCTCCCGTCCAACTGCACCGCACATAGCCAGAGACTTAAGAGCAGAACATCCTTTGCCCAACAGATGCGCCAAGCTGTCTTGCCTAACTAAAACTTAGTAACCTAAAAAGACAATATATCGGTATAGTATATTTTATCCAGCATTGGGGGTGGGTGAAGCTTCACATTCAAAAAAACAGCAGTTGTACTATTGTATACACTCAACTAAAACATGAAGACAGTGCAGGAACACCTTGCTTTCTTTATGTGGCTGTGTTTGATATACAATGCAGCTTATTATTAACACACAGTGTATTGCAGTGTTCTGCTGAAGGGAAGTCAGTATAATCAGTTTTACTCGTTTAACATAGATGAGCTTCTCTAACCTGCATTGTGTATATACAGTGTGATGCCATTTTGTGTAGCATTTTTAATGCTGTCTATGTCATTCTTACAGTGGGAATGCTGTGTAGTGTGAACTGTACCACAGACAGTATCCTTTTTGTTTCCCCCCCCCGTCTTAAATTCTGTCCAGCCATTTTTCCAGTGTGTGCAGTGCTATACGTTTCAAACTGTTTCTGAACTTGCATAGCAGCATGTTGCTATGCAAAACGTTACATTCCCTGGGTCCCTGCAGCCTCGTTAAGGCTGCAGCCTGATGCAACACTTCAACTACAAATGCAGCATTACGTGCTTCTGGACATGCATGTGCTCCTGGTTTCACAAGACAAGGCTTCTCGATGAACTGACCTCACATTTGTTTTGTCCTTAAACCTATTGTTATGTTGTCCAGTAAATCCTTTCACTATATCATCCTCATGCAAATACATGGAAAGGATTTACAATTATTGCAGAAGCTCTCATTCATGCTTCAGCAAATCAGGGTTCATTTTGATCAAACTGTGCTACCAAGGCATACAAGCATTACTTCAGAGCAAAGTTGGATCAAGTCATCTTGAGCTTGAGACTGCGTTATAGAAGGGATGTCTTGGAAAATATGTGCCTGGGACTCTTATTTTTTTCCAGAGCAAAGGGCATATTGCTGCATGTCAGTGGATAGCTGTGCAACAGACATTTGTTTAAAGATTGCCCCCTCTCCAACTGGACGTGAATGTACTAGTGATTGGGCTTTAAAGAGGGTAAGATGTCTAACTATTTTCACTGGCACAAAGCAGTAGTAATGTGGCCCTTCCCCAGCTGAGCCAAAGAATGACCCATCACCTCTCACTCCATACGCTAACAACACATATCTTGCGAAATAGATGCACTGATTTCGTTTTTGCTTCCAGGCCCAGGCAAACTCCCACATGTCTGCAAAACCTGCTCAGTGACCTAGAGGACACATGTCTCCAGTATTGCACTGCATACAAGATGCCCCGACAGTGCAGTATATGGTTGTTTTTAATAATATTCTGCTGTCAAGAAATCACTGTACCTAGTTAAAGTATTCATACCACTTGGATTGTTTTCATCCTACATGACACTTCTCATTCAGTTGGATTATTTGTAATAAAGCCTACACCATTTAGAGCAGAAAAAAATAAATAAAATGGCAGGGGTTCTGTAAGCATAGAAGTGTTGTATGGACATGTATTCAGCCCCCCTGAGACAATATTTAAGGAGACAGTTTTCCCTGGAATTAAAGGGAAAGGTCCTAGAGTTTTAAACCAGCTTTAAACATCTGGATTCTTTTTTTCAATATAGAGAAGGATGATATTAAAACCTGTAGGCCACACATTCTTAATTTATTTTAAGTCTGCATTTTCACCCTCCCATATATATATATATATATATATATATATATATATATATATATATATATATATATATATATATATATTGTTGTCCTGCTGGATAGTGAACTGTCAGCCTAATTTGAAGAAGTCGTCTGCCTTTAACAAATTTTTGGGGAGTTTTATCCCAGTATTTATTCCAGTTTAATCAATCATTTACGCTAACTTCCTTCTCTGATCCAGCTGAAGAAAAACATCCCCACAGCATGTTGCTGCTACACTTCTTTTTGTTGTATTACCATGGCTATGGTCTGTTCATGGTGACGTGGAGTGTTGGTTTTCCCCAAACATATGGTTTTGCATGTAGTTTTTGTCTCCGTTTAGCAAATAAGGGACTGAATACAAACGTATACCAGATGTTCCAGACGTTTCTCTGTAAAATACACCAGTGTTTGTGACTGAATCTTCATAAAATGTGAAAATGTTCAACGGGTATGAATACTTATGCAAGGCACGGTATTTTCTTATCATTTTTATATATGCTTTTAATACGAACATTAAATTGATCAAATGCTGATTAGTGCGTTGTGTAGATACAGGTTCCACCTATAAGCATCTTCTAAGAAAAATCACTGAACCAACAGTGATGGGAGGCGTTTAGATCCTGATTTGGAGAGGTTTCACACAAGAGGACAAAACACATCACCAGCTCACAAGGTGCGTCAAAAGATCAGCCTGTCTAGCAGGGTAGAAAAAAAAAGACTCCTGTTTTCAAACTCTCCCACTCTCTCAATGCACCATGCACAATACTCAAATACACAAAGGCACAGGTTGTAAACTTACAATATACACAATATCTGCTACATCCTACTATTTATAATTCTAGGTGAATACTTTGGGTTAAAGCATCTGTAACATCCAGAGTGTATGAGTCGTGTAAATGTTATAAAAAGCTATAACAAAACAAGCAAAAAAAAGTGAAAAAAAAATGCAAGTGGTTGACTATTAAGACAAAATGTAGTGTTATACATGTAAATGTGTTTCATTAAATGACAGCACTGGAAAACGTATTAAGTAATAGATACCATATCGTATGAATTTTATTGCAATGAAAACTGTTCGTGTATCATAAAAGCGTGACGTTATCCCACGCTGTCAAGATTTGTACATGATGATGTAATTTAAAGATTATATTCTATTGTAACTGTACAACTGTGTTGAGTTGAAAATGAGATCTAACTATGTTGAGACAGTAAAAAAGGTGTACATGTAAATGCTTTTTTTTATGTTGACCTTTTTTCCTTATGCACATGGGGCTGCAGCTCACAATGTGAAAAACCCCATATTAGCGATCTAGAAGATGTATGTTCATAGTTAGTGATGTACTTTTATCTCCTAACTGGTGTAGTGCCTGTTCATCTTGATGTAACAAGAAGTTCATTTAAATATGCATAAAGCTGATTTTGATCACGGATAATGACTATAGTGATGAAAGAAGAAAATCCTATCAAATTTGCTGTGATGGTGTCAATATTACGATATTGATTTGAAAGGGAAAGAAGTTTGTTGAAAGAAAAAGTTTTGTCTGTGTGTTTGTCTTTTTTATTATATTCTTGTTTCCTTAAAAAAGGAGAAACAGATTATTAAACCTAAATAGCAGATTTAAAAAGAGCACATAAAAAGATTAACTAATAATCCAGGTCAGAAAAAAAAAAAAGAAATTGGTGTATCTATTTAAAAAACTCATTTCTGCTAACAATGTGGTATGAAGGAGAGGGCCGTCAGTTTGGTGCTAGACTTGCACCATTGTAGGGAGTATGCTTACTTCTAAGGCCTCAAACAGTAGAATGCTGCTAATAGATAACTTATAGAAATTGTTTAAAACAAAATTCGTTTGAAACAATTGTGGTTCCCATAAAAAAAAGCAGCTGAAACAAAAGTAACACGCACTACTGATACTTTTTAAAGTTGCTCACTTTCTGGGAACTTTACATTAGAGATCTAAAACATTTTTATTTGTCATTTTTTGAGAAATAGTAGCATTTTTGGGTCACTGAGTATGGATAACAACCATCAGTGTGTATGCATCTGGAATCTGGAATTTCTAAATTGATTTTATCTGAAGCAACTTTCAAATGCGAGTGTTCAGTTGATATCAAACTAAAATGCCAAGCAGTTGTTTGAAGAATGCAGAAAAATAACAATTTTCTGTCCTATGGTTACAAATGTAAATGTGGAGTTAGCTAAATTCTGATGGTACTTTAGCTGGAACTATCTGTTTAGGTCAAATTTAAACATCCACTCCAGGTGGGTTTGGCGTCAAACAAAAGATACTTATGTAAAATAGCAAGATATTGATCGAAATTGTAAGGTCAAAACAAAAAAAGGCTTTTTTTCAGCAGATACAGTCAACCTTCTACCCATGGCCATCTCAGGCCAGAAAATATAATTCTATAGAAAATACGGAGGGTTAATGGAAGAATAAATATCAAAACAGAGAACACCCGGGGCTTTGGACGGTCAGGGAAAATCAAGCAGAAAGGAATTGAGGTATTTTAAAGGCTATTTTCTGCCAGATACACAAATGCTGCAAAAATATTAAAACCTTTCAAATGTACTTACCCTTAATTTAAGTTGGCAAATAGGATGATTTGCCAATGGAATTAGTATTTTTGCTATACTATGTTATGCACTTGAAATAAGACAATGCAATGTTTTTTTCTTATTTAAATGTATTAATTGTCTTGTTCCATGGGCAAAGTGTCTGACTTACCTGCAGCACTTATAAAAAAAAGATTTTAGATTTACATCTTTTGCAGTAAACATGTGCCCAGCATTGTAAATGTTTTCTTTTCCGCTTGCTAAATAGAAAATGTAACTAGATAAAAACAAATAGGAAAACTTTTAGCCAAAGGAGAGCGACAAAGCAGAAGGTGAGTGGACAACTGTAACATATTTATTTTAAACTTATCTTTAATGTCTTTCTCTAGATGTTAAAATATTCTTAAAATGTAGTCTGGAAAAACAGCAATTCATAATATTTTAATAGATAATCCCAAATAAGACCATTATATCTCATTCAGTGTAAGAGACATAAAAATATTAATATTGTTTAGTTTTAGTTGTTCGAGTTGCTTCAAATGCTTCAAAAAATGTTTGAACATTTGAGTCAAGCCATACCCCGAAAAAAAAAAAAAAACTTTAATCTGATAGCTACAGGGATTTCAGTATCATGGAATCCTCCCATGATGATATAACACCAGTATCTTTTCTTTGCATGTCTAAGAGGACTGTAACCCTAAGGAAAATTAGTAAACTAAAATTATATTAAGCGCACTCAAGCTGGGTTAGGATCTGAAACAATATATTCTAAAATATTAATATTTGGACACCTCTTAGAGCATAAAATAACAGCAAAATGTGTGTTTTTCTGTAGCAAGTAAAGGAAGGAAGGTACACAGCAAATGGAGGAGGAAGGTTCTCAGGTCAGATAAAATAAACATGAAAAACATTGTATAGATATATAAAAAAAAAAAATCTGAAAACTCCATCCTCACCATGAAGCATAGTGACAACATCATTTTGTGGGGATATTCACTTCAGCAGATGCAGGAAAGCTGGTCTGAGTAGATGAGCAGATGGATGAAGCTTAATGCAAAACTTTCTAGATGAAATCTTTATTTAAAAAAAATCACTGAGGCTGGAATGGAAGTTCATTTAACTTTTTACTGCTATAATGAAACTTTAAACATTATACAAAATTCATGCTTTAGAAAAGCTAAGAGCCAAAAATTAAGAATCCAATGGGACTCTTCCTCCTTTCATTCTGACCAATTTTGAGTTATTGAATAAAAAAAAGGGTTAAAATAAATTATGGTTCCAAAAATATTTTCCCGTTATTTACCAAAAAACTATATAAATCATTTATTTTTTTTCGACAGTTCACAATTTTGCTAAATTTTGTGTTTGTAATGTAAAATAACTACTTCTAAAGTATGAATGGTTCAAGTTTTTAAAGAAATCGAAGGAAGAAAGTTGACCAGATTTTTTCAGGCTATTCCTGTTCAAATAATCTTATAGAATTCCTGGGATTATTGTGCTTATTTGCATTAGATCTGTAGACCTCTCATAACGGCCGAAAATGTGAAGTCAAATGCAGCATTGGTGTCTATTTAAATAAAAAAATATTAAAATTTAATTGCTTTCATAGACCAATTATAAGCCGAAGGGGTACTGTCCATAAAACAAAATTATAAATTACAAAAATAACCCGAAGACTCTCTTTCCAGGTTTAAAATGTGAGCTTTCCCGTTTTCGAAATAATTCAGTGTTGAAGAAGTTATTTTAATTTCATGGAGACATAAACAGAAACTGCACTAAAGACAAAACATGTAATTCATTTCTGTGATAATTTAATTTCAGAAACATTCATCAGACAATAAAAAGGATCTTTCACTTATTTGCTCTTCATCATTTGCATACATGCACTGCTGCTTGAGTTTAATACCAACTGATTCATCCTGCTAACTGGAAACTTCAGAGATGTTACACAAAGAAAACAAGACACAAAGAACTTGATAAACTGACATTTGGAAGAAGAAGAAACATATCTTACAAGTCATTGGAAGGAAACGCTTCAATGCAACTGGAGCTGTATTTCTGTATTGGCTGGTATTGTCATATCGTGGTTCAGCACCTCAGGGATTTACACTTTCATCAACTAAAGGGCACCATTCTGATCATAGATGGTATGAACACAGAGATCATAACCTTTCTCTGACTTCACAGTCATTCTGAAGGAAAATAACACAGACTTTGTAAAGGTTATATGACTCAGTGCATAGATTATACAATTTGTAAAAGAGCGTAAATGAGCTGTGACACTGTCCAAAGGACATGCCGTTGTTATTCATTTGTAATGAAATGGCGAGTTCTAGAGATGCACCAATTAGATTTTTGTTGCTAATACATTCATATTATTTCTATTTTAATCAACCATGGCACTTAAAAAAAGGTTGCAGATTTTTATCAGAGGTAAATACTTTTACACCCAATAGAAAATCCCAGAATTACAAGCCTATGATAGCGGTTTCCTACCTTGCCACATATTTTATGGGTAAACGGCTTCTGGTGAACCAAAATTCTGGGTCGTCCATGTGTACAAGGAAAATCTTAATTAGCTTTGCTATGAATACTTTGAAATTGTTCACAATAAATAGACAACTTCCTGTCTGGAAATTCACTTTTAATTCTCTGATTGCCTAAAAGTGGTTTGATATCAATCCAAATGAACCAGAAACTAGACCAAGATGTCAGTTTCTATCATCCTAAGAAAATCTTTGGCACAGATAGGATAAAGTAGGCCATTGCTGTAATATTTAGCTGGTTCAGTAGCAGTGGTGCACACATGATACACATTGAGAGCTGCTGATGTAACGTTTTTTCCGTGACAAAAGATCCTCGGAAACATGGGTCATCTGGTGATCAACCTGCATACACTACAGAATTAAATGTGTATCGCGAGGTTTAATTTACCCTACTGCAAACAGGACTTCCTAAACCATGGAAACAAAAAGCAGAAAGTATGACAGGGGGTTTGATGCATTTAATGATTTTTTTAAATTTTTTTATTTTAATGCCCAAAGACCGATCAGAGCCAATTAACAAAAAAAGGGTCAAAATCCTACCTGTAGCCAGGCCATTGGTGCATCTCTAGTTAGTTCAATACAACTCAATGAATAATGTCAAAAATATAATAAAGACAAAAGACAGGACAAAAAAAAAAGAAACACTTCAAACTACCAGTTTATGTCAAAGATAATGCAGATTCTTTGGGTAAAATAAAACATTGCCAAACGGATTATTTCTGTCTACATTCATGAAATACATTCAACCTAATTGTATAAAAGTCAAACACAAATTAAAACATTTTGGTTTGGTATAATGTGGGCACATAATATTTCTTAAATGATAATTGGATTCAGTGGGTGGGTCTTTACAGCAATAATCAAGCTACTCTGGTTCGTTTTTAAATAATCATTTGCTATCCAATCATGCCTCACATGATTAGATACTTTAAAATATCACTTAGCCTGGAAACATATAATTCATAAACAACTTTTCAATACCAAAATGCTCCCTTTATGTACCCATCTATTGCTTTTCATCAGCACTGTGAATTCGGGGCCAGTCTGAAGCTTGGTGAAAGGTTAAAGTGGATGATTCTGGAGAAAAAGAAATAAGGGCTTACTATTTAACACCAACTCACACAATGACCGGATAAAACACAGAGAATTTTATCTAATGATATTCCATTTTAACAATAAAAGCACCGATTCCACAGATATATGAATAAACTAAATCCAATCAGATTTAACTCCATATTTCCAAATCTATACTTTTCTAGTTAGTTATGAGAACCTAACTGACTAAAGCAAAAAAATAAAATAAAAAAATTGTAGCTTTTTAAAATCCAGGCAGTGTGACAAGGTAGAAAAAAAATGTCAATTTTCCAAGATTCATGTGGTAAAAAATATTACGCTGACTGAAATCTAACCTGAAACTGTGTTTCAGGGTAGCCTTTACCATACCCCTTAGTGATATACAGGCCAGTGGATCTAAAATTCATTGAAACAAACTAAAGGAGCAGTAACTGTAGAATCAGTTGGCAAAATTAATGGCTTTAATGTCTCTTTTGCAGGCTGCTCAATGCACGCACATATTCACAAAAAGGCTCTCAAACACCCCCTACTTTCACCTTTGTCCATGTGCATCCTTGTCAACTAAAAAAAAAAAGGAAATCTTTAAAGTAAAAGAAACTTATCACTCATGACTCATAGCACTCAGTTTTTTTTAACTTAGCATTCACACGTGCATACAGTGGGATGTTGGTTCAGCTGCACATCAGGAGCGTTGGCCTCTGGCTGTTTTTTTTTTTTGTTTTGTTTAAGTGTAATTAGACTTTGCATAAAGTGTTTTGACCGCCGCACTCCAAAATAAAGCCTCCAAGTTTGTAGGTGTGAGAAATTCCAGAGGTTCAACTTAGTGCTGCAATACAGTGATAAGTCCTTGGATTAAGAGTGCCCAAAAGGAGAGGGCTCCTGTATCTGTAAGAGAGAATAAGAATTAAAACAAACAGTTAATTTGAGGTGTAAAAACAGAGGTAGAACACAAAAATAATAGATAACCAATAGCAGTACTCAGTTTCTAGCAAAAAAAGGCTGATGTTAGAGTTACTGCAATTAGTGAAACAGATAATGAGAGGGATCTTGCAATAAAGACTTTAACACTCAATTAACCCCGTTTTGTGTCAATAGATTATGAATAAAAAGGATATTCTGATGCAAATTGCATCAGACATAAAAAAAAAACAGAGGAGATATGACACTTTTACTTAATAACCGAACTTACAAACTATAAAGACTAGGCCTAAATATAAAGGGAGATTAGTTGATCTCCTAAACACTGAGTTGTTGCAGAGATTGCTACATCTGCTTTTTAACAAAAGCTGCCACATGCCATTCAAATCACAACCTTTCAGTATCTGAAAGTGTTTACGTTTTATATTCATTGTCTGCCCATCTAACAAAAATGTTCCATAAGCCTTAATATACACATCTTTCTTTAAAGAAATATATGAAATCCAAACTTTTAGACATTTTGTTTAGTTTGCAAGGAAAAAACAACAAATTCCCAATGGAACAATCACCATTACCCTACTGATAATTTTGTATAACTTGTTTTTGATGATACCACATTACTTGAGCTACAACCTAGAGGTTCACAACATTTAAACATCAGTGTGTAGTATATCACAATAGCAGATGCTAAATTTGGCAGGATAATAACTTTAAAGAGACACTAATGCAAATTCTGCATGCTGTACAAATGTTTTGTGGTGTTGGACATACTTTTACTCTCCTCATGCCCACATTTCATCTATACTCTTAGGGC